ATAGGGTTATATGGTTAGTCTTTGTATGTGGTAGTTGTGTGCTATGACCTTGTGGCATAGCAAGTACTTCTGTAAAGCTCGATGTGAAATGTCATTTTTTTTCCTTTAAGGTAGAAAAGATGATCTTATATTATAAAATAGAACTTGTGCCAGCTTGTAAAACATGTCAAAATCTTAATGGCTTGCTGACTTAATGAAATATATATAGCTTTCATATTAATTTTCTGGTTATAGTTACAGACTGCTGAACTATGTTACCAGATTCATTTCTAGGTTATAGAAATTGTTGATAGATTGATGACTTGATTGTAGTTGTAACTCATTGGTTGGTTACTTGTTATAGTACCAGCTCTCAGACCTATCGATGGCTTGGTTTGTTACGAGTTATAGGTCCAGCCCACAGACAGATTGATCGATTGGTAGTTACGAGTTGTAAGACCTGCTCTCAGACCTATCTATGGTTTGGTTTGTTACGAGTTATAGGACCAGCCCACAGACAGATCAATGGTTTGGTTAGTTATGGGTTATAGAACCAGCCCACAGACAGATCAATGGCATGGTTAGTTACAGGTTATAGAACCAGCCCTCATTATTCAATTAATGGCTTGGTTATAGTTGAATGTTCCATAACCCAGACTATTTATAGTCCAATTGATAGCTTGGTTATAGTAACAGGTTCTAGAACCTGGCTTTCATTGAAACTGTTAAAAAAAAAAAAAAAAAAATTTGAAAAAAATTAGAAAAATCTATAACTTACAAATGAGATGGAAAGCTTGTGAGATAATAGAAAGAGATTAATTGTGTGACAACAAGAAAGAAAAGTAAACCAAAAAGAGCAATATGCCTTCAGGTCTGTCTAACACCGAATCTGTCAAATAATTTTTTTACATTTTTTTTTTAAAGCACGGGGAAAGTACAGCTGCTCTGACAGACATATTTAACACGTTCCAGCGGATTGTAGCAACAAGGAGGGGGAGATTCTATGTCTAGCGGCTGTAATCTGAGCACCTAGAGCAAGCAAACTAAAAACCACACTGTGCTGGACAGGGGGAAGGATTGGCAGCATACATCAGCTGTGCCCCCCAAGTCAGTCACCGTAGGTTCATGTATCACCACTTCCGACTAGGGCCGTTGTCGCAGTTTAGCCCACCATTCAGCGCAATGTCAAGCCCCTGATTGATTTTCATTGTGTATATATAAAAGCGCATGGGTCACCCATCAACTCTCGATGGGTAGTTAAGTTTGCAGATCTCTATAAAGGGCAGGTTTGAGGTGTGTAGCAGGAGTCTGGTTTCTACAGAGGTGCTGCTGTTGATTTAGGAGCAGTTACATTAACCCTGTGTGTTCCAGGATTTTTTTTTTGTTGTGGTCACCCTTTGCTGAAACAGGCATATCATTTGGAAGTATATACAGACTATGCTTTTTCTTGTGTCCAGATCTTTTTCCTCAGTCTAGGCAACGACAACGGTTGGCACCTAGCTTGGCATCTCGATGCTGAAAATGTAGAACCAAAAAAAGTGTGTTCTCCAAACCTGAAACCACCTCTCTGCAGAAATTGTTGTTGATACATGAGAGAAACCTCCAGCTGATGAATTCCATTGAGTTATATATAGCAGGCAGATAGGTTAGAATGAGTCGGCTGTCCAGAAAAAGCCATTGTATTATCTGTATTCACTTTTTGGGCTTCTGGGTAAATGTTTTTCTGTAATTTCTCTTTATATCCTAATCCGCACATTTGACAGAGAACATCCCCGTAGGGTGTGACAGCAAAGATAGATATGTCCTTTACCTTCGGGGGACAAACCGAGAGCTCTCCAGAGATTAAAACGTAACTTGCAGAGTTTGCATCGCTGCTATCGCTTAACCATTTGAGTGCTACAAAAGACTGAGGAATGCAGATGTGCCATACAGTAATATTCAAAGAGTTAAACCTGTATGGAATCGTACATGTTTTGTTTGTATTTGTGCATTTGTTATTTTTGTGTTAATTTGTGTTAGTTAATGCTATACTCCAATACAGTTTTTTTTTTTTTTGAGAATTGTCCTGATTTTTATTATTTTTGCCGCAATTAACTTTCCTGTCGTTTTCTTTGGCATTTTTATGGTCACCAGGTTTACACGTTTCATAAACTGATGCCAATTCTCTTTGTCTATACAGACATTAAAAAAAAAAAAAAGTAAAATCAATTATATAATAAAAGGGAACCTTTTCTAAGTGAAGAACACACTAGCTGACTTGGAAACATTCTTGAGTTAATCAATTCTTGTTGAATGAATAAAGCCACAGATTTTTTTTTTTAGATCTGACTTTCAGAGCTTTTACACCATAAAATGATATGAATACTGAAATGACTAGTCAAGAACATTGATCATGAATCAGAAATTAGCTCACACGAAGCATACAGTAAAAGTGATTTGGAAGCAAACACATACACAGGACATTCAATGTTATGACCAGTTAGGCCTTAATCATGTATGATATGCTGTATGTCCTGTGTCTGTGTGCAGTATTGGCCTTTTCTTCCTACAATGTGAGTAGAATGAGCATGTTCCTCGGACAGAATTCCGTTGCAACTGTAATTTTTATACGTCTTGAAACCTGTATTGTAAGCCTTTATTATAGATTATCATGTTTTATTTAACATTTGGTTCATTCTCATGATCCACTTTTCTTTCTTTATAGCTTATGTCCCAGCGTGCCTATAATATCGTACATTATTGAATTAACCATTCCCTTCTTTACATCCAACACCAATAGATATAGCTGTACCACCATACATCTTATCTGTTTTAATTTGTAGGCTGATGGTTTCAAGTCAGCTGAGTAGGTTAATATTGTCTGAACACGAGACACCATTCTACTCACTTTTACTGAAATTCCATATTAAAAATGTGGAGAAACTTTTAAAAGAAATGTCTTTCATGTAATATTAAAATCATATCCACATTTAGCTAGATCTTTGTGCATAGTTTGTCTGAAAACAAGATCATCTATTTAGTCTTTTATTCAGGGTGTTTTTTTTTTATTTGGGTCAGTAAGTTGACAATTTGTGAATTTGGCTAAGGCGGCCATGTTTAATTTGCGTGTTAAAAACATTGAATCTTGAAATCATTAAACCATTGTGTAGATAGTTGCTCCACATTAAGATTTGACATTAATAGTAGAAATACGGTTGGACTTAATAGAATTTTGTGAGTCATGGCCAAGAACATATGTAACTATGCACAATTGAATTTTAGATTCACAGAACTCCTCAGACGCGTATATTCTAAACTAGGACCAATGAGCGAACGTCTGTCAGATTCAGCAAGGCAACGTTGAAAAGGTGTTACCTGGTTTACTCGCGCCTTTCAGATCCAGTACATGTTGCTAAATTAAGCATTGAGGTTCACGGGCCATATCTTCCCAACCTGTAGCCAATATAAATAAGCAGAAGAAGGTTTGTTGAATCAAAGCCGGATAATTGCCTTCGAGTTCCCGCCTACGTCTTGTTTCATTTTCAAAGGACGTCTTATTTCTGCCAAGCTTTTGTTGAAATATATTATCTCGTGCAGGCGTCCGAACTGAGAACAGATATGTTTATACCCCCACTCCATCCCTGACAATACTGGCCTTGTCTTTATCCCAGCACATTTCCTTTAATCAGAGTCATAACTGTATTTATTTAATTTTAAATGTTTTTATTGTTTTCGATTTTGGCCTCTTTTCGTATGTGGAGTGTGTGAAGGGGTACTCTGTTGTATCTATATGTGGAAAAAAAAAGAATAGGATAGGATGTGGGGAGACATAGTGGATTTTGAGATCCAGAAAAGCAAATAGGCAGCTCTCCAGTTGGTGTTAAATGACAACTCCCAAAATCCTCAGACTGACTCCGTATCATGGGCATTGTAGCATATACACCTGTTGGTAAATATATTTTTGGGGGATTCAGATATGTATATGGGGTTCCATGTGCAGCCGCCCAATTCTCTGAACTCTGCTTTTAAATGGCACGAGAGGTAGAATGGTTATTCTGTTTGAACACTATCTAAATGTCAAGAGAAACGGTGGTCACTGTCTTTAATTTGCATTTGTACAACAAATTATCCCTTCACACCACACCACACCACACCACACCAGTGTTTAACAAGGAAAAAGCTACTTAGCTTGAAATTGCAGCTTCCCAAGGTACCTTACCTGTTGGTGACCTCCTACAAATATGATACAATATAGAATTTGGGATACAGCCAAGGCCGGACTGGGAAATAAAAGCAGCCCTGGAAAAAATTCTATACCAGTCCAATACTGGGCCTTGCCAGCATAGTGTGCAGATAGAGAGGTGGAAAAGATAACGTAAAATAGAAAACTCTAGAGTGAAGCACTCATAGGGCTTCAAAATAAACAAAAGTGCAGATTTATTTTAAGCAGACGTCTATTTGCATACAACCAATATTTCAGTCCAACTACCTTGTCATATTAAGGACAGTTTGGTAATAGGACTGAAATGGTGAATGTATGCTGTTGTACAGCCATAGAAAATCAAGGAGAATAGCAAACATAATTTTAAGAAATCCACAGATACATATGACAAAATATAAATTGAGCCCTAAATTCTTCTGTCCTTTGTGTACTTGTGTAAGTGTCTATGTATGCAAATATATCTGTGTGTGTTTGGGTGTGTCTATTTTTTGTGGTGAAAAATAATAAAACATTTTTTTAAAAAGTGACTCTCCAATGTCTGTTTTCTGACTGTACTTCCAAGTTCCTCCTGATCTTCTTCTTCCTTGAGTGCTGCCTGCTCCATCTCCAAACCTCTCTCTTACATGAAAGTGAGATGAGGGCCTCAGGGGGTGGACACAGCTCCCAGTGTAACTGTGGTGGCCATTTTAATGTTTGGCCACTTGTTGGCACTGGGCACACAGACACCAGACAGCCTGGCTCTGTATTGCTGGACACTGGGGGCTGCCTCTGCCAATGATTCTGTTCTGCATCCTGAAGGAGTAGTGGCCCTGGGAGAACAGCACTGACAACAATGTGCTCTCTCCATGTCATGCTCCCTCCCGGTTCCTACAATTCCCAGCACAGACACATCATAGACAGGATTAATCACTACTGTATGATGTGTCTGTGCTGGGAATTGTAGGAACCGGGAGAGAGTATGACATGGAGAGAGAACAGCACATTGTTGTTCTCCCGCAGTCCTGCAGGGCTGGCCTACCTGACAGCTGCACTGCTATCATTACAACTGAGTGTGTTGCCAGACCGGCCCCGCAGCAACACCATCATCACACTTGTTGCGGCCACCTACTGGCTGCAATGGAACTGTTGATCCCGGCTACGGCCAGCCCCCTTTGAGTGAGCCACACTCCCACCTGATGCGGTGCGATGTGAATGAAACCGCCCGCAGTGGCTCCCTCTGTTTCTGCTAATTCCCTCAGAATTGGAGGGAAGCTGTCAGAGCGCTATGCGGCCCCAGGTGCCGCGGCCCACCGGGAAATTTCCCGGTATCCCGGTGGGCCAGTCCGGCCCTGGATACAGCTGATTATCTAAGAAAAAAGAACAACCAATAGTAATGCAACACTGTTGATAATCAAAGAGTGGTGCCCCCATTAATTATGGAACTCACAGACTCCATGTGTTTAAGGCGCCTTAAGCTTGCCTTCCCTCTGTGGGAGGTGCGGATCCTCTGTATGTTGTTCTGCTCCGGCTAGCATTCAGGTACCAGGTCAGTAGGTATAAAGAATTTATTAGCTCCAACTGTATTAAAAATATATAAAATATAAAAGCAAATAATAGGTTACTCGTCCTAGTTTAGTTATATCACATTTACTTGGCTGGCTGGAAATATCTTTTTTCAATGCATCTGATTGATGGATGTAAATGTGCATCTTGTTGCAATATGGTATTCGTGACGGTGCTCTAAGCCGGGGGAAAGGAGAGGAAGATTGTTCCTCTGGGACTGAAGAAAACTCTGCTGTCCCAGCAAGGGTTAAACTGGGAAATACACGCAGCTTATAGTTTTTTGTGCTGCTCTTTGTTGAGGGAAATATTTAGGAGATGAGCCGTTTTTGGCCTAAAGGGACTTTTGGACATCGATTAGACGTAAATTGGAGAACACTCAGAGCCTGATGCAGCATGGCAACCAAGACAGAATGGAACGCAAGCAGAATAGAGCATGTTATCTAGAGAAAAGGTTGATTTAGTAAAGAATCTCAATGGCCAATCAATGTCCTGTTCCAATGAGCACTAGTTCCAAATTGAAAGTTCTGGTCCCACGAGGTGGGTAAGGAGAGGTTTCAGCCATAATTCCCATATCATCGCCACTTATCTGGCAATGATCGCGTAGAATGTAGTTCACTGTGTTACTTCTCCAGATCGGAGTAAGAATTAGCCCCACCAATCCACCACCCGCCTCTTGGAATATCTAATCCAATGCATTTGTACGGGCACTGCAACAGTAGGCCTGCCAACCTTGCCTTAAGCTGTGATCGGAAAAACTGGGGAAGTTGCTTTAAAGAATTAGTCTATTTTTATATCTCAGTGAATTGTGAATTCTTGCTGTATAGCAAGAGTTAAAAATAGTGCACTGTTCTTGTCCTAAAAGTATTCCCTCTGCTAAGAATGTAGTGACATACTGGAATGGTTTATTTGCATTGCTTTTCATTAATCCGCTCATGATTTAAAGAAATACATGTCAGAGCTGAGAGTTAACCTCTGATCCCCTCTTTTTGTCTGAGAGGTTCCATGGGCTTTTTTTGGGATGATACTTCTCAGTGTTGGTGAGATATTATGGACTTAATTTCTACACTTTTTGTAAGCAAATACATTATTTTAGTGCTGATAATTCATCATTGGTTGCAGTCCTTACCGTTTTTTCGTGGGGATGTCCATTGCTTGGTTTAAAAATCTTCTTCTTCTTATTATTATTATTATTATCGCCATTTATATAGTGCCAACAGATTCCGTAGCGCTTTACAATATTATGAGAGGGGGGATATACCTATAAATAGGACAATTACAAGACAACTTACAGGAACAATAGGTTGTAGAGGACCCTGCTCAAACGAGCTTACAGTCTATAGGAGGTGGGGTATAAAACACAATAGGACAGGGGATAGCAATCAAATAAGGTGGGAGTGAAGCAGAGCTAGAGAAGAGAGTAGAGTGCTGCCCTTTAGGAGAGAGCAAGAGGCAGGTATTTGAGGTAGAGGTTACTCTGGGAGGCCATAAGCTTTCCTAAAGAGATGGGTTTTAAGGCACTTCTTAAACGATTGAAGACTTGGGGAGAGTCTGATGAGAGTAGGCAGGCTATTCCATAGGAAGGGAGCCGCCCGCAAGAAGTCCTGCAAGCGTGAGTTGGCTGCATGGGTGCGAGCAGCGGACAGGAAAAGGTCAAGGGCAGAGCCGAGAGACAAAAAAGGGGCATACCTATGGATCTGTGAGGAGATATAAGAGGGACTCGAATTGTTCAGTGCTTTATAGGTATGGGTTAGCACTTTGAATTGATTCCTATAGGATACAGGAAGCCAATGTAAGTACTGACAGAGGGGAAAATCAGTCTGGCGGCAGCATTCATTACAGACTGTAGCGGCAATATGGCTTTTGGGAAGACCAATTAGGAGAAGGTTATAATAATCCACATGGGAAATTACTAGAGCATGGACAAGCTCCTTGGTAGCATCTTGCGTATGAAAGGGGCGGATGCAGGCTATGTTTTTAAGATGGAATCTACAGGATTTGGCAAAATACTGGATGTGAGGCTCAAAGATGAGGCCAGAATCAAGGATGACGCCAAGACAGCGCGCTTGCAAGATTGGACTGATGTGGATACCACTAACTTGAAGGGAGAGCAAAAGAGGAGGATCAGTATTAGTAGGAGGAAAGACAAGGAGCTCAGTGTTAGAGAGATTGAGTCTCAGAAAGCGGGAGAACATCCAGTCAGGGATGGAAGAAAGGCAAGCTGTGACAAGTTGCAGGGGAGAGGTCCGGGGAGGAGAGTTATATCTGGGTGTCATCAGCGTACAGGCGGTAGTGGAATCCAAATGAGGTAATAAGTTTGCCAAGAGAGGCAGTATAAAGAGAAACTATAAGGGCACCAAGGGCCAAGCCCTTGGGGACTCCAACCGAGGCAGGGCGAGAGGAGGATGTGTCATTACAAAAGGAGACACTGAATGAGCGTTGGGAGAGATAAGAGGAAATCCACAAGAGGACAGAGTCACAGAGACTGAGTGATTGAAGAGTTTGAAGAAGGAGAGCATGATCAACAGTGTCAAAGGCAGCAGAGAGGTCAAGAAGAATTAGTATGGATTTAGCTGCGATTAGGTAGTTAGTAACTTTGATAAGAGCAGTCTCAGTAGAGTGGAGAGGGCGGTAGCCAGATTGAAGAGGGTCAAGGAGAGAGTTGGAATTGAGGAAATGAGACATACGGGTAAAGACAAGTCTTTGCAGAAGCTCTGAGGATAAAGGGAGCAGGGATATGGGATGATAGAGGGGGAGGCTGGGTCAAGAGATTCTTTTTTTCAGGATAGGTACTACAGTAGCATGTTTAAGGTCAGCAGAGACAGTGCCAGAAGAGAGAGTGCAGTTAAAGATGTGTGTTAAGGAAGGCACAAGACAGGGGGAGAGAGAACTGATAGGGTGAGATGGGACAGGATCGAGCAGGCGGTGGTGGGGCGAGAGGAAAGGAGAAGTGCAGCCACCTCTTGTTCAGTAGCCGGGGAGAAAGACTGAAGGTTAGTGAAAGTCATGATCAATGTGTGGTTGAGAAAGAGAACGGCAAGGTGGGGAGAATTATTTCCTTACCTGTTCAATCATGTCGGTAAAGTAGCATGCAAAGCTATCGGCTGTAAGGTTAGTTTGAGGGTGGCCACAGCAGGGCGAAGAAGAGGGTTAAAGGTGTCACAGAGACGCCTGGGAATTCGGGAGCATTAACTAATAAGAGAGGAAAAGTATGACTGTTTGGCGAGTGCATGGGCTGCGCTGTATGAACTCAATATGAATCTAATGGAGACAGTCTGCCTGGGTGCGAGACTTCCTCGAGGAGTGTTCAGCACAACGGGAGCATCTTTGCAGGTAGCGTGTTGATTTAGTATGCCACGGTTGGGGGCGTGTCCTCCATGAGGTGCTTGTTTGGAGCGGGGCTGCAGTGTTCAAGTCAGAGGTAAGGGTAGTGTTATATGTGGAGATGGCCAGTGAGCGACAGGAGAGTGGCCATTCCCTTTTTGAGTCTCACTCTTATTAAATTGGTCCTTTTAATATGTTATCTTACAGATTGCTAGATCCTCATGCACTTACTCATGCCAATGTCATTTAAGGATTTGAGCGAAAATTCCTGGGTCACTGTACTGTTTTAGCAAGTACCCACTGGTTGGACTGCTCATACCGTATTCATCAAGACACAACCCACAATAAACTGGTTCTCGTAGTGTCCATGTCTTCCCTAGTAGATGGGTAACGTCCAGTGAAGGATATTTGATGGGAGGATGCAGGAACATGCATGCGAGAATTCCATATAGACTTGTTATGCCCCTCCAAGGCAGCTTTAACATAACTTTGGCCAAAGCCTTTCTTGTAAACAGGCTGGGGCAATGGAGATATCATAGACCCCCTCTTTGAAGAATTTGAGTACTGTCTCTGTCCCTCCAATCCAAGTGTACAGGGGTATCTGGAAAACTGTGAAGTCGGGACATGAGGTGGTCTTTGTTGTCTTGCAGAGTATTTGCTGTGCATGCCTACATTGTGAGTGCTTTGTGCGTGTTTTGAACTGGTTTTATGAACATTCATTGGCCTTGTAGAAGAATAGTTTGACATCACCCGCTGTTTTTAATCGTCAACTGCTGTTAGTTGTGTTTACATTATACCTTATGGGCATCGAAAACGAAATAGATTTTGTTTCTTATTTAAGAGTTTAAAACAAACTCAAGTGATGTCTGTTGTAGAAAAAAGATGGCCCTACATATAACAGAATAGTACCGATTTTATTCATATCTGTCGATGCATTCCAACTAGACATGTTAGGGATATATTAAACATTAAATTATTATTTATTTTTGTAGTTTTGGTCTGTTTAGAAACTGCTTTGTAGATTTAACAATTTGCTGGGAAATATAATTTTTTCCATTTCCTTCTACTTTCTCATAAATATCTAATCCTTTAGATCTATTTTTATTCTGCTGCTTGAATGTCTTC